TATAGTTTAAAAGCATTATTTAAATAAAGTTAATTTTTCAAAGTCATGCCTCAACTAATGCGTATGCGGTCGTCATATTTTTCCTAATTATTGTAGAACCCCCTTTATTGTGCGAATTACCCGCCTCCTGCTATAGCAGTGATATCACATAATACGAGAGAATTAAATAGTAAGTAAGAAAATAAACCGTTCTGAAATACGTGAAAAATAAAATAGCAGTTATTAATTTATTTCCATCATACAAATAAAGTCAATTTTTTAGTCGTCTCAACTATAGGCAGCGCTGATATAAGGCCGTAAAATTTTCCCTATTCGAGTCGGACTACCAAGGCCTCAGATGTTTTGGAAAAGGTTTCATCTTTTTTGAATTAGAAAATCTTTTGTGGGATAATGTCTGTAGGTGCTGCGCGGATGGGGCACTAGATATGTTAGGGACAAAATTCGGATTTCAAATTTGTGTAAAAACGCGAGCTCCGAAAGCGAAAGACATTCATCGTCAGGCTCCTAGCCTCAAAAGCATTTCCAGCTCCATTGGGGAAGGTTTTGAATCAAGTAATTATAATTGTAAATTTTGTGTAAGCGGGAGCTCTCAGCTCACGGCTTTTCAGACAGATATGTACTGACTTGATTGCAGTCCATCAGTCGCTTTTTTCCCACGAATGTTCGATGGCTTTCAAGAGGAAATGTAACCGAGCGAGTATTTGAGCTTAGAGATGAGCTAAAATAATTTTTTTAAGTTACGGCGTAAAGTGGAATTTTTTCTGCTTTCATAATAGGACTGGATGATGCGCCTTGCCTGTTTGACGTTTTTTGGGCAGCTGAATAAACTGAGTCTTCAGATGCAAGGAATGGACACAAACTTCATAAAATTTATGGATTCCTTAAAAGCTTTCATGAGCAAGCTGAAAAATTAGAAGAGAAATGTCAGTAATCAAAAATGTTTCAATGTTTGAGAAACCGTCATCAATTCTTGTTGCAGATGGCGAAGAATAGGTGTTTCCAGAATTCGCAAAAATAATATTTGACAGCATTGGAAAATGAATTCAGCCACTCTTTGCCTGAACTCAATGATGAGGAGTTGGATTTAGTACACAATCCGTTTAAATTGTCGATTGAAAAAATTCCTGATGATTGTCAAGACGAATTACTGGAGCAAAAGATGTTATTTTTGATGAGAAATCAGTCACAGAATTTTGGATTTTGATATGTGATTCCTGCTCAAGAGTGGCAGAAAGAGCAATTCATACATATGATTACTTTCATTTGTGTCGACATGTCTCTGTAAGTCAGGCTTTTGAACTCTGTTGAAAATTGAAACAAAGCAACGAAGTGGACTGGAGGCTGAAGATGGCCTGCGTTCTGCCGTTTCAAGCACTCCTTCGCGTTTGCATGAATTGTCAAGGTAAAAACAATCACACGCTACTCACTGATTCAAATCTTCATCGAATAAAATAAATTTTATTTCTCCGGCATTTTAATGGACTTTTTGTTTATTGAAGTATGCTTCAGTAACCTTAGTCTGCAAAATAATTAGTTTTTGATATAAAAACTAAATTTATTTAAGTTTTAAAATCTATCATTTCCACTGCTGTTAAATTTGTAAACTCTACCGTAAAAATATCAAAATAAATGTATATGTACTAATACTGACAAAATAATGTATTTTCATTATTATTTGAATTGCATCTTCTGAGCTGAACTATCTTGGGAAAGAGGGTAGTCTGAACTTCGGTGAAAGGGAGAATTGACCAAAAAATGTTGAGAACCACTGTTTT